GGCCTCAGACAGTGAACAGTTGTTACCCACAATGGAAAGGGAAAATTGTTACTAAAATGTCACTGAATCAAATTTTTGATGACTCATGGTAATTTGTGCACCTGCTTTGACACCTTCAATTATTAGGTAGTCTCACTTTTACAATCCAGGGATGTTAAAATGCATGTATTTATGTAAATATGTACCTGCTGAAATGTTCAGTGGTTACAGCAGTGGCTCTGCGAGTAAACCTGTATCAGAGGCAGCAGTGGGGGGAGGGAGGAGAGGACGAAGGAGGCAGAAGTTCATGCTCTCGGCAAGCCAGCTTTTAAATCAGTTCTCCGTGAGCACCGGCTCCCATGGAGCTGCCTACCTCTGCAGTGCTCCCTCTGAGGCAGCAGCAGAGCTCTGCAGGGGCCAGTGCTTGTGGGAAGCCAGCTTTTAAGCCAGCTCCCCATGTGCACTGGTTCCTGTTTACCCCAATCCATGCTGCTGCCTCTGTTCTAGAAGCAGCAGTGTGGGAGTGGGGGTGAGGGAAGGGTTTGCATGTCACTGTGAATGAGCCCAGGCTCATTGGTTAACCGTGTACACTATCACATCCTTATTACAAATGAATGAATTAGCTTGCCAAGACACAGGAAATAGCCCCATTGTACTTTTGAAGAAACAGGGTTTAAAATGATTAATGAGTTAGATTTCAATGAGCCATCTACTCATGAGCATGCACTAAATTGCACACACAAGCACCTATGCTTACACTTTATACATGTGAACAGCTGCACTCATTTCAATACTTCTTCTCTCCCTGCACTTGTCTAGCACTTACCAGTGCATCTGTCAGGGATATATAGCAGCTATAGGTGCTTGCACCTATGAAGTCTAGGAGCAAGTATGTATGTGTACATATGTGAAAGCCACGGGGGATTCAGCTGAAAATGTATTCCTAATGGACTTGCCTAAGGGCATGTAGCAAGATAGTGTTAGACCTAAAAAGAGAAGCCAGACTTCCCGACGGGTTGGACAGTGGTTAGATCAAGGGACTACATTACCACTGTAGGGAATGCTGAATTAACAACATAGGAGGGGTGTGTGCGAGAGAGACACAGACAGACAAGTGTCAGACCTGGTCTCTCTGTTCAGAGTGCTGGTTTCAGGTTTTCATCCTTTTGTAAAGCTGGGAAGTATGAAATAACACTGTCTGAGGAAGGGAAAGGTGTTGGAGGGTGGGATGCTGATACCAGTGTGCACGATAGGAATCTAATTGAACGCGGCCTGGCGTGACATTAGCACTCACCAGCTTGCTGCACACTAATGACATTTACATTTTGCTGGCTAGAAAAATAAATGCTGTGCTAGCTCATGCTGTTGGCTCATCCAGAGAGCACAACTGGGAATGGAGGCTTGGTATGCTGCGCTGTGCCGTGCCCCACCTCAGTGTGCCTCGCCGGGGTTGTCTGAGGAGTGATTGAAAGTAGCTTCTCTTCTGTCTTTTCTCCTAAACCATGGATGCGTTTGTCTGAGGAGTGATCTTCTGTCTTTTCTCCTAAACCATGGATGCGTGTTACACACTCTGGCCTCCTGTGCTGTAAGAGGCTAGAACTCCAGACAGGCACGTGACATCTGGCACTAGAAAGGGCACTGGGGATGCCAGAGCCATGCTAGTCAGAAGAGAGGGATAGTCAAGGGAGAATGAGAAGCAAAAGAAAGAATCCCTGTAACCGCTCTGCCGTAGGTTTGTGTTGCACCAGTTCCTGTCAGAATCCCATCCGTCAGGGAGAGTGCAATCCAGACTTGGCGTTGCTCAGTAATGAGGGAGAGAGCTGCAGAGAAATTGCTGCTGCTCTCTGTCTGCCCAGCGTCCTGAGAAGATCGGGTATGTCCATCCGCTACCTGGACTCTTCGTGTTTCCTTTACTCACCATGTACACCCCTCTCCAACTTTTCCTATGGAACCCATCCCCTCCTAGCTAGTAATATATCTGCCAATTCTCATTGCCTCTCTACTCATCCCCCATCAGCTTGCTGTCCTTGTCCTACCATTTTCAACTTGAACCCCTTTAATTCAGCAACCCTGGGGAACAGGGCATGCCAGATTAAAGATTTTGCCAGGCCATGGAGGATGCTGCAGGGTCTGGCCAGGAGTGGATGGGTATTTATCTAGAGCCCCACTCCCAGGGGCACACATGGCTCCAGGGCACACATGGCTCCACACCACACGCAGGTACTGCCCCCTCCATCTGGGAGCATTGGGAAAAGCCACAGGGGAAGTTCATTGCTGTGCTGCCATTCCCCCAGCTGGGGAGAGGAGGAAAAGCAGTGTGCAGTAGGAATGTTAAATTTAGATTAATTGGCTAATCAAATAGTTAATGCAATTTGCATCAACTATTCGATTAGTCAATAAGGGTGCGTCTGCCTTGGAAATGTAGCAACAGCTCCAGGGCTGTTGCTACACTTCAAAGGCAAAAGTGCTGTGGGGAGCACGGGGCCTGTGCTGACCTTGTGCTCCCTGCAGCGTTTCAAAGCAGCAAGTCCGCATGGAGCCCAGAGTCAGTGGGGAAGTCCCCTGATGGTCCCAGGCTGCAAGCAGTGTTTCAAAGTGGCAGTGCCGCATGGAGCTTGGGGTCTGGCCTCAGGTTCACCATGGCACTGCTGCTTTAAAGCACCTCCTTGCTGCCTCTTTCTAATAGTCGACTAGTTCACATCTCTAGTGCACAGAACCATTTCCTCTTCCCTCCTATGGGTGTTCCTGGATTAGGGACACCCAGAGTATGGAGGTGCAAATGTACTACTACTCTGAAACACACAGCCAAAAACTTGTCAATCTGCCTTCCCAAATTGCTCTCAAGAAGGTCTTGAATAGTCTCTCCAAATATGTCTAGACTACGTGCCTCTGTCGGCAGAGGCATGTAAACTAGGCTACCCGACATAGTCAATGAAGCGGGGATTTAAATATTCCCGGCTTCATTAAAATAAAAATGGCCTCCGTGCTGTGTCAGCTCAGCTGATTGTTGGCACAGAACACGAGTCAAGACACGGATTGGTCAACAGGGGAAGCCTTTGTCAACTGCTCCCTTATGCTTCGTGAAACGAGATTTACAGGAGTGATCGACAAAGGATTCCCCTGTCGACCGATCTGTGTCTTGACTCGCCCGCTGTGCCGACGATCAGCTGAGCCGGCGCAGCGCGGCAGCCCCCAGCCATTTTTATTTTAATGAAGCCGGGGATATTTAAATCCCCGCTTCATTGCCTATGTCAGGTAGCCTAGTCTACATGCCTCTGCCAACAGAGGCATGTAGTCTAGACATGCAATCCTTGTGGCTACTTTCATTGTCCTCCTCTTGAGCTTTCTGCAGTGTTTGATACAGCTGATTATGTCTTTCTCCCTGCTAGCCCCTCCTCCTTCAGCTTTTGCAGTCTCGTTCTCTCTTGGTTCAATTTCTACTTCTAAATGGCTCTTTCAGCATCTCCTTGGCAGCTTCCCTCCTCCTCCGTTCTCTGTGCAAGTGGGCAGAGCCGAACCTGGGACTTCTAGAGCTTAGCGCATGAGCCTCTACAGCTTAAGCTAAAAGCCAGTTGGCTCCCAGCTAAGTCTGTAGAGCAAACTCATTCTCTCTCTATAAGACGTCTATGTGCACAACACCCAGCAGGTGCGTGTTACACATGTCCCACGGTGCTTTGTCGAGGATGCCCTTTCTCCTCTCACTCTATAGCTCAACCCTGAGAGACTTTACCCAGTTGTTCTCAGTTTGTGACCCATAGATCATGTGTGGCACAATTGGCATGCAGCTGCAGTCCAGCTGTGTGTTAATGGGCAACGGGGTCCAGGGTTTGGTCTGCCACAGAGTGTAGTCCTGGGCTGGGGTTGATGCTGAGCCCCACACAACAGGGGTGGGGGTGGAGCTGCCACCTGGCTCCACACAGAAGGAGTTCGCTACAGAGTCAGGTCAGGACTGCGGTCCAGCCCACATAACAGGGTCTGAAGTCCTCCGCTCCTGGCCCTGCTCTTTGGAGGGGTTTCTGGACTGGGGGAGCTGGGCATAATGGTGTGGGAGGGCTAAAGGAGGGTGCTGTGGTTCTCAGCCTGTGACCCAGGTAATGTATTTTTGGCTCACCAGCAGCTCTAATTTAACATGGATAACAATGACCTCCTTATTGTTCTTCCCAAAGACTTTCTCCACTTTTGCACACAGCAGGGCTCCTCCAGGACACACAATTTCACAAAACTGCAGTAATTTTTCACTCCACTCTAACTTCCTACACATCCAGACGGTTACCAAATCTTGTCAATTCCTCACAACATAGTGAAAATCTGACCCCTACTTTTTGTCCCAATGGCAAAAATGGTGAACACAGTAGTCTCTTCCCCTCCAACCTCCTTGTCATTCCTGTCACTCCAGTCCACTGCAACCAAAATACAGCTGCTGACATCATCTTCCTTGCCCAATCATACCATCCCACTCCCTCCTCTCAGAGCTCTCATTACCACTGATTTTAACTTTCTTGTCTCCATCTTTCCAATATCTGTCCCAGCCTACATCTCATTTATTGTGTCCTCATTTCCTTCACTCCACCAGCTGTGCAGGCCTTGCTGCTGTTTTCTTTCCTTCCTGCCTCTTTCCAGGCTGCCGCTACGCCTGGGGTCAGGAAATCCATGACAATGCGCTAACTGGGAAAACCCATGCAACCTCTGGGGAGGCTGCTCTGCTCCTGAAGAGTCGGTAATAGACGTGGAGCAATTCTGTTGCAGCTCCACAGTATTGGTGGACACATTCCTCCTTCTCCTTAACCATATGGGTCCCACTCCATGCAGACTGTCTGCTTTGGCCTGGCATTAAGGAGTGAGAAGTGACTGTCCCGTCCCTTGATACATTTGCTGCTTTTTTGCCTGGAGGAGATGTGTGCCTGAATGAGCTCAGTGAAAACACAATTTGACTTGTGCCTGCATATGCAGAAGTGACTAAATGAAGGTTGAAATCTTCTCCCAGTTCCTGACATTCTGGTTTTGGTTTTTGTCCCTTACAGGTTAGCCAGCCCAGTGGCACCAGCAGGTGCTGAATCAGGGGGTCCTGGTTGATGCATGCTTACCTCAACCTGACTTCTGGAAAAGAACAAGTATTGTGGTGAAAGCCTGTTACTGGCAGCACTCAGGTAAGGGAAGTGGCTCTGTTAGCACATTTAACTCTGCTGGCACTAGGCTGAGATTCTGGGCAGTGTTTCTTCACTATGCCTCTTTCAGTTGTGGAATTGTTCCTACTTTGTATCTAGAGAGACTGCGCAGCCCTGCATTATTCTGCTGATTCATAGAATGTGGAGCTAGAAAAGATGGTGCCTTATAGTCCAACTCTCTAACCCTCAGCTAGGCCATCATGGATACCTTGCAGTGTATTCCCCATCTTGTTTTAATTAATGGGATTTTTTT